TCATTATAAGAGATACATCATGCAACCGCCATAAAATCTACAGCCAAATTACGTGTGTTGGTTTCTGTGCGGACGCCTTGCAAACGAACGGCGAGGTTGGCGTTATTGCGTGTTAACAACGCGTCTTATTATAGCAGTTAATTTCTTATTAATTAACTTCTCATCTGCAGATCTGTTTATCACCGACGATATGCGTGCGTGCACGTGTGCGTGCGCGGGAGAATCAGAGTGTGACTATGTATTCGTATACAATTCAATCATTGTGAAGTTTCATGACGTTATTTTTTATCCGTCATAAAAAAAAACATGCCGCCACACGCGCGTTAGTTACCCGTGGTTTCAGAAGATTAATTCGCAGATTTTTAATTAGAGAAATTGATTCAACTCGGCGCTGAAGCGCTATTTGAACACTAAACATTTGTATTCATATCGTATCGATTAACTGCAGGTATGGACGTGCGCGCTGTAACGCGGAGTTCATCATTTCGCGTAAAGAGCCGCTACCTGAGCCGCTGCCATGAGCCGATGCATGGTCGGATTCCGGCGTGGGCGCATATATTTTCGTTTGGACGCTTTCAGGCTATAGAAAAGAGCTCATGGCAATTTCATTGTGAAACAAAGGTAATCGATTTTCCATTCTCCTTCTCTCTCTCTCATTCTCTCTCCCTCTCTCTCTCTCTCTCTCGTGCGTTTTCTGTGCCGTTACTATTCGTAGGTTGCGAGATAGGCCATGGTCATGGTAACGTTGCCAGCGTATGCGTGCGTGCGTGTGTGCGTATGTGTGTGTATTATAGATATCACGAGTCCATAATAGAAATGAACTCTTGTGGACTTTTCTATTATGGACTCTTGATATATATATATATATGTGTGTGTGTGTGTGTGTGTGTGTGTGCGCGCGCACGCCCGTGCGTACGTGTATATACATGTAATAACACGTGTTAATAATTTCAGTACATTATATTGTCTTATAGGTAGTATAGATAAATCCCGGGAACGCATCTTGCATTGTCGCCTGCATATAGGGAAGCAAGAACGCGCTCAGAATGATGTCCGCGCAGCGCAGTAGTGTGTGTGAAGCAACACTAGAAGGTATATAGCAGTGTTATTACTGTATTTACTCGGTAAACAATGCTTTGTTGATGCAACAGAACCGTCGCTGTCGCACCTTTCGGAAAATCACTCAGGCACTTGGTAACTCCGACAAGAAATCTACAGTATTTCTACAAATCTACACACTCGTGTGGTGTGTGTGTGTGTGTGTGTGTGTGTGTGTGTGTGTGTGTGTGTGTGTGTGCGTGCATGCGTGCGTACGTGCGTGTGTGTTGTGTGTGTGCATGTAGCGTGTACATGCGTGCGTGTCCCGTGAGCTTGCGTGTGCGTGCACGTACGTACGCGCGCGCGCGCGCGCGCGTGTGTGTGTGTGTGTGTGTGTGTGTGTGTGTGTGTGTGTGTGTGTGTGTGTGTGTGTGTATCCGTGTGCGTATGCATGCGTATGCGTGCCCGTGTGCGTGCGGGTATTACGGAGGAACAGCGTACACACACAAACGACGACATCATTTCCCGATTTAGAGCGAGCCGAGCATTGATCACTTACCGCCGGCGCACACAGCTGACGCTGCAAACAGCCGGCTAATCACAGGCAGTGCCGTGATCACTGCAGGTGAACGGCTAACCTAGACACGGAATCTCAGATATGCGCAGCGGCGCGGTGTGTTCACCCGCTGCGCGTTCATAGAGACATATAGAGACGTATTATAGTGACGTATAGCGATATATAGAGACGCATAGAGACGTATAGAGATTAAAGAGACGTATAGAGACGTATAGCGACGTATAGAGACGTATAGCGACGTATAGAGACGTATACAGACGTATAGGGACGTATAGACATGCATAGCAACGTATAGAGACGCATAGAGACGTATAGGGATGTATAGAGATGTATAGAGGATAATTTATATAGAGACATCTAGGGATGTATAGAGACGTATGGGTACGTGTAGGCACGTGTTGCGACGAATGGAGACATACATAGCGACGTGTGTGGCGACGTGTGGGGACGTATGAGGAGAACATGTTGGTATATATGGGGCGAGCTAGCATGTGACTAGGGCGAATAACAGCATGTCGTGATGAACAGTCTCAGGCTCATCTCGCTGCTTCCTCGCGCGTGCTACGCTGGCGTCCGCACTTATTGCCTTATATTATTACACACGTATATACATAGAGACGAGGCGCACACACACACGTACACACACACGCACACACACACGCACACACACACGCGCGCACACACACACGCGCACACACGCACACACACACGCTCACTCGCACGCACGCACACACACACGCGCACGCACGCACACACACACGCTCACTCGCACGCACGCACACACACACA